TGGCCTTGAAGGAACAGCGTCAGTTGCACTGGTAAACTCCTACCTTGGTCTTGGACTTGGACACTTTCTGAATAGCAGGCAGCTGTTTGGAGGGAGGACGCAGAGCCCCTTTGTCCCTCTTCCATGGTGGGGCTCGATCTGCAGCCTGGAGAAACAAGAGCGGATCTAAACCCAGGAAAGGCATGTGCCATCATTCCCAGCATTCCAAGTGCCTCAGTCACTGCTGTGACAGAGTTTTACAACTAGCACAAGGGCAAACATTTGCAGCTGAACTAAATGCAAACACAGTTCAGTGTAAGAGTGTATCGAATGACCTTCAGGTTTTGGATGTCACAGTTTTAAACTGTGGTTGAAACAGAAAAACCTCTGCATTTGTATACTACCAATATGCCCTTCTTCAGTCTGTTTATGAGGACTGTGAACTTGGATTTGATTTAGATCACAGTAAATTCTGAGCAATCTTCCAAAAAACATGCTTTCTTTTAGCATGTTTATTCTATATTTCTTTTAGCATAGTTTATTCTCTATTTTGGGTAATCTTACAGTTCAGATGAACACATAAATGGTATCTCCCATAACAAAGAGACTATACTCTGAAAAGCTGAAAACACAGCAATGCCTGGGCTCGGTGAAAGAAAGGATAGCTTAACTATTAAAAGCATGGGCTCTGGAATCAGGTAAACAAGGCCACAAATCTTGGCCTGAGGCTGCAATCTGCCTAGCTCAGAGCAGTTCTCTTAATCCTTAGTAGTCTCCGATACTGTATCTCTAGAATGGGGTGATAATACTACGTAGTATTCAGCAAAGTCCCTGTGAGATTTCAATAAGATAACCCATAGAAGTTTTAACACACGCTGGGCTGGTAGTGCTAGTGGCAACCTGCCCTTTGTTATTGTTTTTTGTTGTTGTTGTTGTTATTGTTAATAACGTGTACTTTTGCTTATGATCTATATATCCAAGGTTTACATAGCGAATTAAGTTTTTACCTATTCTTCATTCTCGCAGGGACAAGAATCCAAGTCAACCTACCAAGAGATCCTTTCTGAACTTGACGAAAACACAGAAAACAAGCTTGATTTTGAGGACTTCATGATACTGCTGCTAAGCATCACTGTTACGTCAGATCTGCTACAAGATATATGGGGTGTAAAAAGTATGAATTAAACGGCTTCCTGCATGCAGTTAGGCAAAGTAAGAGAAAGACTAATAAGTGATTAAAGGGTCTTCCATCTTATTTGTAATGAACTGTGTGTTGATCACACATCAGGGAGAGCTGATTGCTGAAGTTCAGACACGACATGACTCCAAAAGCTCGTACACAGTCTTCAGAGATGCCTGGTATCCAGAAATGTTTGAATACTATGGCCTTGATGCTTTACAGCATGCCCGCTGGACACCACTGAACATCAGGCTGTTCTTGCTGAATCAATAGTAGCTTACAGCAATTTTCTTAATGACAGTGAATCACTCACTCAACCACTCATTCTCCCAATGGCGGTTTGTGAGCATCTCCCTGGTAACACTGTTGCGGCCGTTGTACTGGGTGGTCAGACAGCCCCTCCCCTCAGATAGCTTACGGAACTCTGGCAGAGGAGACAAACACTGAGCCTTTTTTAATCAGTTGCAAGTAGAGTATAGTTACAACTTTGATAAGGGTTACAGGATGCTGAGTTTATCTTCTGACTTGGATTCAAAGGTCAGAGAAACTTTAGTGACATTCTGCAAACAGCAAAAAAGCAGATGACCAGTGGCTGCAGTGCAGTATGGGTGGGAGATGAGCTGGCCCACAAATAGGCACAGAAGACATCCCAGGGAACAGAAATGTTCTCTATCTTGGCTGTTGTAGGGGTTACACTACTGCCTGCATTTGTCAGACTCTTTAAACTCACACTAAGCGGGGTGACTTTTACTGAATGTGAATTATGGGTCATACATCAATAAATCTGACATTAAAAATAAACCCCAACGTCCTTGCAGTCTGACCATGCTTTAACCGGCATGGTTCAGGTTGCTTCTCAAAGACCCACACCCCTCTGTGGTACCTCTTATGTTCCTGCCTGTAGAAGGAAGACACACGCACGGGTGTGCACACACACCACACTAGGCGTTGCGAGGGGCTGCGGGCTTCTGAGGGACAGCTCAGCAGATGGTGAGAGGCACCCAAGCCTCCCAGAGGGCACCGGGCAGCAGCCAGAGCCAGGAAGGCCCACAGGTCACGCACTTGCACACAGACCTTCCTGCACAAGCATCGCAGAGGCCTCAGAATGCCTCAGTCTCCCACAGGAAGAACAGAGGCTGTGAGTGACTAAGGGGTGGCTTGGGGTCATCCAGGTAACCACTGGAGCGTCAGAACCCCAGCACAAGGGAGGCAAGGAGGTGATAACGCGTGGGGAGGCAGAGACCGAGTGTTCAGACCTTTATTCCCTTTCATCCGATGACGCGACGCTCTACAGACAGCCCATCGCCTCGCATTCATCACACTTCCACCACAGGCAGGGGCCAAAGAGCAAGAATCACTGTCTTGACCTTCTGGGAGTTATGGGCAGTAAGTTGTGCAAATGTGAAGGTTTCACACTGTCCCAGACATTCCTGCTCTGCCAAGCACTTGGTAAGTAGTGCTTTCCACCTCCTGACAGCGGGGTGTGGACATCTGAGCTGAAGCGCTGCATGCCATCTCCAGCTGGGAGCGTGAGGGCAGGGGCCCCAGACACCGGGCTGTTCCCCAGGCCACGCAGCATGCCCAGAGGAGGCTGCTCCCCTCACCTGTGCCTGAGGGTGGGCAGTTTGGAGCAGAACCACTAACACATACAGGGGCACCTCTCACATCCTTAACTGGTTCCCCAGGAGGCTCGATGGGTACCAAAACAGTGAGGATGAAGCAAACTACTTTGGCTGGGAAGGACAGCGAGTCTGGAGAAATTGACACTAACAAGTTCTACTATGCCGGTCAAGTACCCAACCAACAACCACTACGAGGACAATACTTCCACGTCAAAATGCATCGAGGACCAAGTCAGTGAGTTTCAATGCAGAGCAGCCCTAAAATGTAGACATGTTGCTTGAAAGAGAAATAAATCTTGTTGCTGTGAGAATCGTTCGCTTTAAAGTATTATAACCTTCCAAGTCCTGCCTGCATTTCCCACTATCTCCACAGCCTAAGCCATGTACTAAGAAATCCCTTCCCAAAGGGATAGCACCTTGTAATAGCTTCTGGTCTGGGAGGAGCTATTTCACCCAATAATGTTCCAAGTCCAGTAAAGCCCAGCTCTCAGCCCTGTCCTCTCCAAGCCTCAGACATCAGACCAAGACCTCAGGCCAAGGATGCTGAACACCCAGACTTTGCCTTCTATCATCACTTTAACAGGCGGTAAATGTTTTTAGCAGAAGCACTTACTCAATTATTTAATAAAAGAAAAGTATACTAAAGAAAATTCTGTGTGTGCATATTTCAAAGTCTTCTTGCCATAAACTGTCTAAAATCAGATAGAAAAAGAAAGCAGAAGAAAGTTTCATTTTCGTTTCTTTCCTTCCTTCTTATAATACAAGGACGACCTTACAGTCTGTCAGTCACAGTTCTAGGGGCTTAACACACAGTAGTAACTCATTTAACCCCCGTAGGAAGCAGGAATTATTACTGTTACTGTCTTACAGATGAGGAAACAGAAGCGCAGAGCATTTGATTTTTCCCAGTGTCTCACAATGAGCAGGCTTGAGAGTTCTATGCCCTCCTGGAGGGCAATGCTAATTTTGTTTTAATATTAGATTTTATTGTGGGCAATAATATTATAACTCAACAAAAATAGCCATGCACATTTCAGGCACTGTGCAAGAGATAGCAGCACCAGCTGGGCCGGAGAACCGTTTGGCATTCCTCAAATAGAACTCTGTGGGCTGTGTCCTCCCTCAAAGCCCTTTGTGTCTCAGGCACAAGTAGCTGAATATGGCAATCGTGGTGACCAATGGAAAGGTCAAATTCACACCTTTCAGAGAAGGAAGAAGGAGCCTGGCCAATGGCATGATGGAAACTCTTGGAGCCACTCCAACCCTTTGGGCCTGCAGTAAGAACTTTCAAAAATCTATCCCAGATGGAAAGTCACGATCCTCTGAGGGAGATATCAATTATAGAATCTGTTTTAGCCTGATGGAAAGCATGAAAACAACCAAAGCACGTGTACATGTTGAAGTATCAGTGACAGATAAGGCAAGTGAAAGGATGCTGAGACGCAAGATCACAGAAGTTCAGCCTCTTGGATCAGTCCCAGGACCACAGAGTCTACTGCTTGAAAAGGTGCCATATTTCTTTTTTTTTTTTTTTTTAGTTTTTCTCTGGTACCAGGAACCGAACTCACGACCTTGCGCTTGCCAGGCAGGTGCTTTGCCGCTGAGCTAAATCCCCAGCCCGAAAAGGTGCCATATTGAAGGTGTTAGTTACCAGCACAGGTGAGACCAAGGTACAACTCTGTCTTGGGATCCCTGGCTGCAAGGACCAAAACCTACTCCAGTTACACACACATACACAAAGGAAAAAGGTGTTTATATTTATAAACAGGGTACAGGACTGTAACAAAATGCAGCGGCAGAGAGCGTCCTCAGTGCCTCAGAAATACAGGAAGCAGTAATAGAAAGCAGAAGCAGGCTCTCTCTGAGTCTCTCTTCCTTTTCTTTTATATAAATTGTATTTGCACGAACTAATGATGTGGAGCAATGGGCTACGTTTAGGCATGTTCATACATGTGCACAACGCCTCCACCTCCACTCCTCATACCCTTCCTCTTCTCTGGCAGCCTCCTTTCTACTTTGCTGTCATTTTTTAAAAATTTTCTTTCCGGAGACCACACATGAGACAAAACCTGATGTCCGACTTTCTGAATCTGGCTTATTTCATCTGACATGGTAATGTCCAGTTCCACCCATTTTCCTGCAGATGACATGACTTCACTCTCTACACTCTTGTGGGGCTGTAAATTAGTACAGCCACTATGGAAATCAGTATGGATGTTCCTCAAAAAGTTAAAAATAGTGCTCCCATTTGACCCAGCTATACCACTCCCCACTCTATCCCTGAACAAATTAAAGTCAGCGTGATAGAAAGTTACCCACATACCCGTGTTTACTACTGGATAACACAATACCTAGTGGAACCAGCCTTGGTGCCTGTCAGTAGATAAATGGATAAAGCAATTGTGGTATATGAACACAATGGAGTGTCATTCTCTTAATTTTTCTTAAATGAATTATCTTCTTGTCTCTGCTTCTCTCTGAATATGGTCATTATTTTGCATTGTCTTTTCTCTACCTCAGTCCCCTGACCAGTTCTTTCTGCTTCATCACTCAAGAACTAAACACAGCATCTTGTTTGCTGACTTTGATTTCCTTTTCAAGTGCTCAACAAACATTCAATAGCACCTTGGAGGCCCAACACCAGTCCTCAGGAGACAGAACCCAATTGGCCGGGTGAGTAGGGATTGTTCCTGAGCCTGCAGCCCAGGAGATAGAAGGTCACATCCCCACTCAGCAGGCACATTGGGAGCAGACTCCTCGAAGAGGATCTAGGCAAGTTCTTAGGGTAGGAAGAAAGAAGCTGGGGAAGAAATAACTGATGGAGGAAACTATAATCTCTAGAACAAAATCTATAACTTGCACTAGGAAGTCTGTTATTTACTTCTCAGATACAGGCTCAGCAATGAAACGATTTCATTGATTATTCCAGGTGAAGCCTTTTCTGCATTGTCATTAAACAAAGGACCCTAACCTGAGTCTCCCTGGGAAGCAGTCCTGCAATTAATTATAGCCATGAAGTTCTTATATAAGAGTTGTGGCACCCTTGCAATGTGCTGAGCATGACAGACAAATACCCATTCCTAGAACCCCTAATTTTCTTCATTTTAACATCTAAAGATGGGTCCAAGTATGAGATCAAGATCTGTGCTTTAAATAGTCTTCTGTCAGAAAGTGGTAGATGACTGAATGTCCTGGGGAGCCCTGGTCATCAGTGACCTTTGGCATAAGCAGAGCTAATGAGAGCTGTTAGGAGACTGAGTGCAGCAAAGCCTGGTCCAGGGCAAACAGCAACCCCTAAGGAAATCAGCCCCGAGACGTGCTGTGCCTGGCTTCACTTCTGCAATTTCTGTCCAAGCTACATGGTCAATTCAGATTATTCTCTGATCTTTAAATGGGTAAAAATTTTAACTAATCAAATTCAGGAGGTGGCATAACAATTAAGTATAGTTTTGAGCATGATTTACTGTGAGTGAATTTTTTAAAAAAGTAAAGCTTTCCTTGAGGAATGCCTTGTACTCCTGTAACAAGTTCTCTATACTTTATCCACAACTTCAAATCTCAAGAGCCATGACTACTCAGAATTTTTTCATACTTACTTGATGATAAAACATGAGTTTTAACCCATGAGAAGCTATTTGCAGTCTTTATGTCCCCACTCAGTGTGAGTATTCAGAGCACGCGGCATGGAGCTGTAGGTACCTAGAGAAATCACTCACCCAGCAAAGAGGGCAGACAGAGGAGAGCGGGACCCTGGCCACAGATCTGCCACACTGGCTGCGTGGCTCTGGTAAAGTCCTCTGCCTACTGTGAGTGAGCCTCATAGTTTTCAAATACAAATTTGGGATGAGAAAAGGGCCTCTTTTCTTCAAAAAGTTGCTGTGAGATTTCAAGAGGCAATTTATCTAATGCTAGCAAATTTCATTAATCATGATTTTAATTAATACCTGTACTTTATGGAACATTTACTACGCTCAAGCATTGCAGTACGGTCTTTGACTTAATTCCCAACTCAGCTGTAGGAAATTGGTATTATTGTCTCCACCTCACAAAGGAGAACACAAGGGAGAGCGGTGGGTGGCTTACTCAGGCCTACTGTGCGCTAAGCGATGGATCAAACCCAGCACCGCAGCCCAGCGCTGCTTCCTGCCTCCTTCCTGATGCATGGGACAGTGCAGGGACAGCTCTCCACTATGTAGGGTTTATACCTAGCTACACCCAGTTCTTCTGTAAAACCAGGAGGAAGAGAAAAAGAAGAAGCAGGATTTCGTGTGCTCAAGGCCCAAAGAAACAGGAAAATATTTTTTTAATGCAACAACAACATAGCACGTTTCCCTTGCCTCTCTGTGTCATTTAACTTATGTTTCTAGGCACGTATTCTTTTGGTGGAAGGCAATGAAACCTTACATGTGTGTGGCCCGGGACCATGGTTTTCCTTAAAGAGAGCACAAGTGGTAGGAAGAAGGCCAGGGAAGAAGAGAAGAAAGAGCAACAGAGCCCTTGGGAGGGAAAGAGCATTTGCACAACCTTGGCATATGCTGGGTAGTGTGGCGGAGACACCGACATGGAGATTAGAACAGGTTTCATTCCCGGCCTCCCTCATTTCCCTCCTCTTCAAATCTCAGATTTTTCTTTACTTAGTAAAAGGGGGCTCTGTGACCAGATGTCCCCTAAAATCCCTTCCCACTCTCAGAATCTTTCATGCAAAGCAAGATGTTTTAAGAAGAAAATTAGAACAAGATGCCAATGTACATATGGGTAAACCCTAGCCCTTCGAATCTGTTTGTCTTATTCCTTTCACCACTTTGGAAGTCTGTGGCATAGCCCAGTAGACAGAGGACAAGACATCAATAAACAGCTAATGTCCTTAGCAGGGAAAGTGAGGGAGAAAAATACTGATGGAGTCTTAATACACTTTAGATGCAAATACGCTTTCTGTGTGTGTCTCAAATAATTCGGTGACTGTCTATTGGCTTGGAAGGTCTTGCAAAGGAAGAGACCTGCCTGTCTGACCACAGAAGCTGCAGCCCTGACACAGTGCCCAGTGCAGGCTTGGTGCCTAGTGGCTATCAGATGAACAGATGACCAGTGAGTCCTCTCCCTGCAGGAGTATAACAGGGAAGAATAACTGATTGGCTTGTGTGCAGACCAGGGCTGTGCTGAAGGAAGAAAACACAGCACTGTCTTCGTCACTTTTCTTGTTGCTAAGACGTAAGCCCTGACACCCGCTTCCGAAAGGAGGACAGGGTTATGCTGGCTCAGGGTTTCTGAGGTCTCAGTCCATGCATAGTCGCCCGGCTGCACGGCAGGAAGGGTCCGGTGGGAGAGCCTGGAGGATGAAAGCCGCTCATGTCATGGCAGAAGAAGAGGGAGAAGCAGAGGAGGGAGACGCGCCCTTCTAGGTCACGCTGCAGCTGACCAGTCTTCTGATCGGTCCTAACACCACATCCAGCAGCGATGGATGGTAACCCACTGATGAATACAGTGCTCCCGTGACCCCGTCTCCTCCCAAACCCCTCCTCTGAGCACACGAGGGCTGGGGGACGTTCCGGGTGGGAGCCGTAACAGGGTGCTCTGGAGACAAGCTGGTTCTGATCCTACACTGGGCTGCCCTTCAAAATGGGTGGAAGTCATGAGTTGGATTGCTTGGGTTTAAGATTTCATCTGCTCCATTTTAGCTCAGAACAGGCAAACAAGAGGTTTCTTGTTTAGAAGATTGTCAAGATGGAAAGACACTGGGAGTAAAGGGTCCTCATTGCTTAGGGCTCCGTGAAGCCCACGCCAAGTGAGAAACCCACCAGGGTAGAGATTCCCAGGCCCAGAGCCCCCTGCCCACAGTGCACATCTGCAAAAAGCCTTCTGCTTCTCACTGATGTCTGAATCTCAAGCCGGCCTGGCCACTTTTTTCAAAACACACTTTTATTTATAAGATAAAGCCATTGCAAAGTCAAAGGGCTTGTACTCAAATTGTCTTCCCCAGCCTCATCTGATTGTCAACTCCGTTTCTTGTCCTTTTACCCTAAGGGTGCACCTTGACCTGGGACAGGCCCAGCCCACAGTCAGGACAGGGTGACCCTCAGAAACCTCTGGCCCTTTCTCGCCCAGGGAAAGAGTGGCCTCGGGAGCCTCAAGGGCTTACTTGCTGGTGGGGCTGTGCATCTTTGATGGCCTGTAACATGTGGAGTTTGCTGCTTTCTCAAAATCTCTCTCTTTGAAGGAAAGAAATCTACAGGTAGGTTTGGGGCTTCTGAAGAGCTTAATAAAAATCAATAATGAAATTAAAATTGAAGAAAGAGAAACACAAGGTTCCTAAAGATCTTTGATTTCGTTGACACTTTGTTCTTCAAAGAAAGGATTTTGGTTCCCCCTGAAAAGCATGCATGAAATGGTGAAGATGTTAACTGCACAGGCCTGGGGCACCCCGCTCAGCCGCTGTCCTAGCCAGATCTCCCGGCACTCACTCCTCTCTGAAAGCAGGCTAGGAGGAGAGAAGAAGAAGGGGAATTACCTCCCATCTCTGGAGTCAGCACCAGGAGTGAACTGGGGTCTCCTGACTTTTGGGGCCCTTTTTTAAAATCAAGCTAGAGATAGTTGATGAGGCTAAGAGAAGAGGAAAGGGTTTGTCTATATCCTGAGGCCACACACAAAATCAATTTCATAATGATGTTCACTCTGATCTCTCTTGGAAGCTGATTTGGGCGTGATTCAAAAGCCCTGGGATAGTGTAGCAGCTGTGTTGTTTTCCTTGGAGAATCCCAGCCTGAGGACTGAGATTCTTACTCGTCCCCATAGCCTGTGCAGGGCTCGTAATTGGCATGTCTGCCAGGTTCAGTCCCTGTCTAGTCTGACTGGCCCGTGCCGTGCCAAGCAGGTGTCCAGACATTTTGAATGCCATCTCCATAACAAGTGATATGTATGCCCAGCCCATGACCCTCCGCCCACCTGAGATTACTGTGATGACCATTTCCAGCACATGGACAACTCCTTACCTCAAATGTACGTGTCTCCTCTCTCTGGAGCCCAAGGAATTTGCTGCCCAGCAGCAGGTACAAAGTGAGCATGCAGAAGAGTTGAACACTCCAGGGGCTCCTTTCCACCCATGAGAAATGAGCACCCACTGGAAAAGCCTACAACCCTCCATGCACAGTGATTACAAGGCAAGTCCTCACAGTTTCTCCCAAGGTCCCCAGGAAGACTGAGCTCCATTTGTCCATGGGGGCCGCCTACTCATCAGTACTCTAGACTGCCTTTTCTCCTTTCCTTGATTCATGTTCCCAGTGTCTTCATTGTCACTTCCTCAGATTACCTGCTGATATAATTCCTCACCTAAGTCTTTGTCCAAGGTCTGCTTTAAGGAGGAATCCAACAGAGAAAAGTCTTCCTCTGATACCTAGCACTGAGAACAGTATTCACACGTCAGAAACATTCAAACAGCACTCATGATACCTACCTGGGAAGACTGAGAATCACTTGGGACATCTGCCTGGTGTAATTCCAGGTATGCCTTGAAAGTTTTCGGGAGATGGCCCACAATTAGAGATGGTGAGTGAGATAAAATGAAATCAGCTTTTTCTTCATTCCCAGTAAGGCAGGAACAAGTACGGGAAGGGAAGAGAAAGGCTGCACATTCGTGCACTGGACACCCCGGCGAGTAGAGGATGAATGACGGTGAAAGACACAGGAAATAATTATCTACTTTCCCCACCCCACACCATGCACTCACTGTGGTTAGAGTGCTTGCACCATGGAGATTCAGAGGTGCAGCTCAGGATGCTCAAGAATTTCAGCCCTTCTTAGACCTGTTGAGCATAAAGAAGTAGCACCTCCTCTACTAAATAGAAATTACACCTAACACTTTTTTAAATGGGAAAGCAGATTTTGCCTGAGTTACTGCAATTAAAAAAAAGGATTGCAGTATAGTGTTGAGCTCAACTACAAGTTAAACACACAAACAAGACTTTACTCAAGACTATTGCAACTGAAGAGACAGACCAAGCTCAATTCTAAATAAAGCAAGGAAGAGTGGGGATTTATAGATAATATAAATCTATAAAGATGTGAGAGTGTATTGAAAATTACTAACAGGAACTTGGTCAGGTATTAAGGGTTGAGGCAGGAGAAATTTGATTGAATACCAAAGGTGGAGGGCTGCTGCTAAAGTGGGCTTCTCAAGACATTGACAAGGCCTAACAGAGAAGCACGCTGAAGGATGCTATCCACAGAACTGGTCCTGGAGCTGTGAAATACCTCTCCTCCAACACACTGGCTACTGGAAGCAGTCAACATTCCAACAGCATGACCAATCCCTAGCTATAAAGTACTTCTAGGTCTTTGGAAAGAGTGAGGGAGATAGATAGACCTGGCACTTGTCCTTTTAGGGAGTAGGTAGATACAGACTGGAAAGCGTAAAGTTCAATAAATGGCATAATGGGGAAAACACAACATGAGACCAACATGGTTTTATAGGGTTTTTAATATTTTTGACTCTCCAGATGATATGACATTTTATCTATGGCCTGAAAGTGGAGTAGGTGTTGTCAAGGCAACAAGAATAAAATAACATTGTCATATAAGAGCATGGCAGTTTCAATATATTGGAAAAAAAAAAAAAGAGTTTGATCTGACTCAAAAGCAGCATAAGGCAAAGATATGGGGGAGATGTGAAGATTTACGCTGATACGTTGGATTGAGGCCATATCAGAAAGATTCTTAAGGACCACAGTAAGAAAGACTTCTCACACCCTTCAATTAGTCCTTAGCTTAGCTCAGGTTCACCTAGAAGCACACTCTAAGGATTAGAATAAAATTCTTCAGGAGGTGATTTCCACCCACTCAACACATGGTCGCTGAATGAGTAGGCCCACTGTGAGCACCTGGAGTGCAATCCCCTGGTGAGCACCGGGAGAAATGGGGAACGTGCCTCAGAGTTTTCTCAGCCAAGAGGCAAGGAAAGTGTGGAATTTTCTCCCATGTGCCATCCATCACGGCTTGAGGTCTACTTTGGAAGGCATTGACTCTCAGCTACTTCCACCTCCCCACACAGGTACCACGTGAACTTCCTGGACAAGAAGGTGAAGGAAACAAACAGAAAGTGACACTATGCTCACAGAAAGCAGAACTCTCAGAGGATTTGGGCAGGGACTCTTACAATAGGGTGGTGTAACTCATGAAGCTCCAAGAGGGCAAAATTGTGTGTTTTCCAAGTGTTTTGGCCAGAATTTTCTTTGCATAGAGCATCCTGCAGGACGGGTAATAACTGTAAGAGGTACTTGCTTAGGTCAGTGGTCAACAAACTCTCTATAAAGGGCCATGTAGTGAATGCTTTTAGCTTTGCAGACCACATGTTCTTTGTCATAACTGTTCAACTCCATTGTTCCATCCAAAAACCAGTTATAGACAAGATGCAAACCAGTGACCATGACTATGTTCCAGTAAAATTTTCTTTACAGAATCAGGTGTCCATGAGCTACAGATTTCTGACCCTGGTCTGGGTCATTCCTACAGCTCTGCACAGCTCTAGGATTCTAAGACATGATGTTGGTTTCCCTACACACAAAAAGGGCAACTGATTGATCTGACATGAGCCTTCTTTTTCCTCCTCTCCAGGTGGATCTGAGGTAAATGTGTTCTTGATCCATGCACCTGATCTCTCTGCAGCCCCATCCTGGCCAGCTCTCGTCAGCAGCCTGTTTGTCTCATTTTTCCCAAGGTCACTCTGTTGAAGAAAAGTAACAGAGCCCAAATTTAATTATTCTACTGGGAAAATAAAAACAGTACTATCTGATACCAAGAATTTTCTGTGTCACAGGAAAAGAAAAATAAATAGCAGCACAAAATAAACAAGTCCCACCCACTCCTCCTGAGGGCTCTAGAGAGGTGTGAAGATTGAAGTGGAGGAGGTGGGTAGTAGGTCAAATAGCAAGACCCAACACCGGATTCTTTGTTAAGCCTTAAAACAAAAGGAAAATATTCCTCCTCTATAGCCATTCAGCCTGCATTTATTAGCTACGTGGTAAATGCCAAGCATTCATTCCATCGCTCAGTGAGAATATACTGAATGCCAGACATTGTGTCAGACAGAGCTGGCTACATAATTTGTGGGGCCCAGCACAAAACAAAAACACAGAGCTCCTGTTCAACAATTGCTAAGAAATGAAGAATGCTGACACACACTATTAAACTGGGCATGGGACCCTTGGGACTGGTATGTGTATTAGTCAGCTTCCCCAAGCCTGGGACAGAGATGCCTGACACTCCAAACTCAAGGAGGAAACGATTTCAGAGAGTTCAGTCCATGCTCAGCTAGCTCCAAAGCAGAAACACTGTTGGAAGGACATAGTGGACCAAAGCTGTTCACCTCATGGCAGGTAGGAAAGAGCATCAAAGAAGAAAGGGATAAGAACCAGATATAGTCCCCAAGGTCACAACCCCATGACCCACTGAGATATAGCCAGAAGTGTGCTTGAATTATATGCAAGGCATCTCTTAATTTAGTCAAGTAAACAATATGATTAGTGTCACAGTGTACAAACTTACAGGTCACATATTCACACAGCCAGCTTCGGTGTAAGATGGTGGAGTTGTAGAAATATATATGGGATTACAATGAGGACACTTCACCCTACAGAAGTCTTCACTCAGAGAAGCCAGTATCTAGGAAAGTGAAAATATGTGTGTAACAAGAGGACTAGTAGGGATTCATGCCATCCTTTTCAATTCCTCTTCTACTTTTATCCTTACCAGGTCCCAAGAAGCTTCTGTGCTCAATAGCCAGCTCCTGCATTGTTTTGAGGGCTTCAGACCCTGAGCTTCCAGAGCCACTGTACTGGGAGCTCAGAGAACAGAACATCTCTCCCCATTGACTTGTGTGGAAGTCGTCTGTTCCCTGCCCCTAGGTGGGTCAACCCTGAGGCCAGACGTACACCGATCCCGCACCTCCCTGGAGTGCTGAATCACACCCAGCTGGACTCCTTTCCCTTCCTACTTCTCCAAAGTTCTTCCTGGGAACTCTTTCTAATAGATCACCTCACAAACAAATTGTGTTTTCAAGGCCTGCCTTTGGGAAACCCAACCTAAGACACACACATATGAATTATAGGGAAGTGTCCTGGGCTGAGTGTATTTGTCCTCTCAGATCCATATGTAGGTAAGGCTGTGTGGGAGATTTGGTGACAGGATGGAGCTGCATGAATGAGATGAGTGCCCCTGGTATAGAAATAGGAGAGAGATGATTTCTCTCAGCCATGTGAAGATATGAGAGGTCACCTGTGGACCAGGAAGAGGGTCCTTGCTAGAAGAACATCTGCTAGCACACTGACCTTGGGCTCTCAAACCCCCACCGAACTGGAAAATAAATGGTAAGGCACGCAGTCTATGGTATTCTGTTATAGCAGCCCAAACTGACTCTACCAAGGAGTAAGGTGCAAAATGAGAAGAGATAAAGATCCTGAGAAAGCTAAGCACATTCAGACACGGGACAAATGACAACAGAGAGTGCATGGGGGTGGGGTGCAGGAGTCCTGGGTGAGTTGGCATTTCCTCTAGGTCCTGACTACTAAACTATTTCACAGGGTCAAAACGAATAGTGAAAACAGGGAAGATGCGTTTACTCTCTGCTTACAGCTCCTAACTCTCTTCTGGCCTGCTGTGTCCAGGAAGGCAGATCTGATGGCCACACTGCCCTGAAGGCACCTGATCTCATCTGAACACAGGCCGCCTTGCCTTCTGGCTTCTGGTTGGAGTGAGCCCACAGCCTTGTGGATAACGGAGGCGGGGGCTTATAATGAATGGATGAATGGGTGGGCAGAAGGAGAAAAGGGTGGAGTCAGTGGTCTCTGCTTATTTCTGTTAGGTGGCTGGTATACTGACATGGTCATGCTTTGCTTAACCATGAGAATATGTTCTAAGAAATGCTTTGCTAGGTGATTTCATCACTGTGGAAACTTCATACAGTATACTTACCTGGATGGTGCCGCCTACTACACACATAGGCTACATGCATGTGCTATCATTTTGGTGGTCTGTCATCGACCAAGCCATGGCTATACACAGCATGACTTTACTGGGGTAAAATCATTTGTTCATCCTCCCATGATACTTTTCAGGTTCTTAGCTAGTTCACAGCTAAGTTTCAGAAGTCCTGTGTCAGAGGATAATTTAGTACTCACATTTCTTCCAACAAAGTCAGAATCTCTGAGCTGTTTATGCTGTTGGTAAAAGACTATGCTGACAGGAGGCTGCAGCTGCAAAGAGAAGGAAATTGTGAAAACATTTTACAAAGTCAACATCACAGGAGGAGGAGCGAGGACGCTAAAATAACCGTTTCCTGTTGAAGCCTGCTGTGTAGGACGAATCATGAAGAGGCTTACTTGGATAGCCTAGTGGTGACAAACAGCCTGCAGCTCCTTTCTTTCTCCTACTGACTTTTGATCAACATGCTAAAATGTTCACGTGGCTGTTCCTCTACAGGCCCTTTCTGCATGCTGGAGAGAGATGAGGCGGGGCTCCACCCAAAGAAACACCTACTATGGGGGGTAGAGTTCCACTGCATATTACCCCCGATGGCATATAGTGCTTACCAGTCGTGGTGCTCCCAGACCCCGGCTAACACACTCAAGCAGGTTGGCAGTGGCAAGAGACCTGCCAAAGTCCAGGCTGTTTACAAAGAGCAGATGGTGTAGGAGAACCCGTGAGGGTGCTGAGGCAGCCTGGATGCAGCAGCAGTGGGGAGCCGTGGGCACCACCTCTGCGGGAAACAAGAATATCTCCATGGGACAGGGAAGAAACTGGAGTTGACTCTCCTAGCCAGATGGTTCAGGGGAGGCTCAAAGGAGAAAATATAGGTGACAGCATCCGCAAATAGCATCCTCTGAGGATACTGCTGCACCTGTCCAGCCCTGTCCTTCTGCTTCTATCCCTCCCGCACACACTGCCTCTTCTCCCAGCTTATTGTTCTATGAGCGAAACACACTTCTGGCTCTGTGGCAAGTAGGCATCGCACAGTTCACCTGGCAACCGAGTTGCTTGCCCTTCCGTCGGAAGGTCCCACCACTCTCCTGTGCAGAGCTTCTCTTCCCATGCCGGCGCTGCTCTGCACCTAGCACTGCCCTCGGCCGTGCCTGAGTCACCAGGTGACTTAAAGATCCTGATACTGAAGACTTGATGTGAGCTTTATAAAGAGTAATAAAAATGTCACAGTGAGGCTTTAAGCACTTTTGTCTTTTATGGTACGTGCTGAAATATTTAGGACCAAAGAAATATAATGTCTTAAGATCCGCTTCAAAATAATAAAGAAGCAGAGAAGTACATGAAGATCACATTCAGCAGGAGCTGTTAATACCGAAGCTGGGTGGTAGTGGATGAAACTTCACTGTAGCGGTCTGATGACTTTATTTGTTTGAAATTGCCCATCATAAGCTTCAAAATCTGCGGCGAGGCGTGGTCTAGCCCTCCCCCTTGCACACACACAGGCTTCCTTGATGGACCGGTGTGGGCATGAGCAATGCACGTGAGTCAGGCAAACCACATTTGATCCTGGTGAGACCCGGACCAAATCACTTCCCCTCCTGGGACCTCAGTTTCTTCATCTGTTTAAAATAGAAAAACTGATTAATGGCTTCTGCACCAATCTGTGACCCTTGGACAACCACTGCAGGACACTGCTGACCTTCTGCAGGTTAAACTATCTGTGTGTGGCCTCAGCTTCCTCGCCCATTGCCCTTAGCATCTGCCCCACACACCCACTGAGAGGAACGGCAGTAGGCTGAACGCTCGGCTCTGATGGCCATCAAGGGGGAGTGACCCAAAGCCCTTAGTCGCCGAGAAGCTGCCCCTTGCCTCTGCCACCTGCCAGCAGCCACCTTAGAGCCCTCTCAAGAAGGCGCTCCAGTCCTGCTCAGCGCTGAAGAGAGGACACCTCCCTTTCATTTACCCCGTGGGCCCGGTGTTTCCACATTCCCTGTGTGTCAACCCCCACCCGCCCTGCACAGCGTTAAACCTCGGGAGCGAGCCCCAAGGGCTGCCTCCCCTCCTGAAAAGTTCAATCGACGGGGAGGGGGAGGGGCACGGAAGAGAGAGAGGTGCCCTTCGGAAAGTCCACCGGGCAGCAGAGTAAGTGAGAGTAGTTGTTGGGTTTTTCTAACGTCTTTGTGCGTTTTGTAAGAAAAAAAAAAGATACCTGCTTACTTCATTAAAAAAGCACAAAAGGTACATTGTCATCTTAAAATCCAGTATTCAAAAGTAACTTTTATGAGCATTTGGAGAGGGACAGTCCAGGAAAACTACAAGGAGCTGGGGCTTTGTGGAGAAAAACCTGATTTCAGGGCAGGGCCAAGAGTGCACAAACGGAGACCAGAACTCCTGTGCCAGAGGAAAGAAAGTGCTCAGAAACAACGTTTCACAAGACTCAGGGGCCAGCAGGGTGGGCTACTGAGGGCCAAGGCTCAGAGAATCCACAGCCAAAATAGGGATAGCAATGAGCAATAAACCAAACTATCATATATGTTAATATAGGCATACATATACCTATATGGAAGTATTTATATATTATACACGCATATGTGTTTTTCACATATATATATTTTCAGACAAATGTTTGGACAATAATTTTTAAGAAAATCTATCCTAATTAACTTAGCTGTCTTCAATATATCTTTGTTATGGTTTGAATCTGTGTGCCCCCCCCCCAAAGCCTCAAGCGGCCAGGCTTGAGGGGCAGGCTATTAGAGTTTGAATATGGATGTGAGAGCTGCACCCGCCCGGGAGTGGATAGTTTGCATATGTAAGGGAGAGGAAAAGAGTGCTTGGGACATTCCTCCCCCATTCCACCCTGGTGTGTGCTTGCGGCTTAGCTGCGTTCTGCCGCCCTGAGCTGTAGCTCTTTGCCATGTGCCACTCTGCCTTATAATCTGCCAAGTACGGACTGAAACTTCCACAAACTGTAAGCGAAATAAACCTTTCCTTCCTTAATTTTGGGCATCAGGTATTTTGTCCCAGCAGCGAGAAAAAAGTAACCGAAACAATCTTATTATACTAACAGTCATCAAATCTTAAAGTTATGCTCGTATTACTCTGTCCTTAACGATGATTCACTATTTCTTCGACTACTTGGTGCCTCAATCCATTTTCTGTTACTATAACTGAATACCTGAGACTATGTAATGGAACAGAGGTTTACTGGACTCAGTGTTCTGGAGGAGGGAGGCCCAGAATCCTGATGCTGACACATACATGGTATCTAGTGATGACTTTCTCTCTGGATAAAGGAAAGGTGGCTTCTGTGTACAATGGAGCACAACTCTGCCATAAAGAAGGATAAACCTGAGACATATTTAAGTAAGTGGATGCAACTTGAGACAATACTTCTAAGTGAAATAGTCAGACATTCACGTTTAAATCTCACATTGTTTTTCTTGTGTACGAAAGGAAAGCATACATAAGGACCAAAATGAAAAGTAGGAAGAAAATGTTCAAATGGGAAGGAGAGTAAGAGAGAGGAGAGAAGAAAGAGAAGGAAGTGAAAAGGGACAAAAAGAGAATAAAATTAATTTTTAAAAGAGAAACATTAAGAAGGCAGAATGGCAAGCTACAGAGACTTATTTGCAATTCAGTGTATGGGTTTGAAGAACTTGCGTCCTGAATATTTGAAGAACTCATGCTAGTAGATAATAAGAAAACAAGCTATCCAACTGCATAAATGGACAAAAGGCTTCAAAAGACACTGAAGTGAAAAGATAGATGGACAGTAAGGATACGTAGGGATGCTTTCCACCATCGGTCAGCTCGGAGGTATTCTTTAGCCCTGGAATACTGGGCTCCAAGTTCCCGGAAGTCACCATAGGATTTCTTGGAAGTGCCAGCTGGAAGTTGGCAAGTAGTTGAAGAAACAGTGAATCATCGTTAAGGACAGAGTAATATGAGGATAACTTTAAGATTTGATGACTATTAGTATAATAAGATATATTGAAGACAGCTAAGTTAATTAGGATAGATTTTCTTAAAAATTATTGTCCAAACATTTGACTGAGAAGAAGGATAAACTTCCAAGTCTATCCAATCTCCTACACAGCGTTGCTCTTTGACTAAATTCTATGATGTGGCTTTATCATTCAGGCCTAAGCAAACTGAATATACAGCAGACTTTACATGCCAAGTGCGTGCAATCCAGGTATCCAGCAAATTTAAAATGCTTACGTGTCAGTATCCTCATAGTGAACCTCAAACAATTCTGGCTTCATTTGAGTGGGTGGTTTGAGCTACACCTAGCCTGGGACTCTGCAACAGGACTCGCCCACCATTTCTGCTTAGCAGTTATGCAAGCTTATTTTCCTCGGAGACTGAAAACTGGCTATGCAAATCCAATTTTTACCTCTTCTAAATATGCAGACTCATACTCCAGACTTCTCATTTGTGAGTCTATAATAAAGAAAAAAATAAGGCAAGGGAAAGAGGACAATATTCTCATTTCTGAACTTAATCTAAAGCTGGCTTAACTCATCCCCAAGCCACGAGTGAGAATAGAAACAATTCCTCACTAGATACCAATTAAAATAAACCTCTCTCAGAAAGATGGGAGGAGGTGGGGGGATCTGAATATTTAAAGGGAAAAAGTTATTTAGAGTCAGTTCTAAGGGTACTGCTAATCCTTTGAAATTTGACTCAATTGTTTTTCCTATTCCTATACACAATCAATAGGTCAGAAATCCAGCCTCAGATTGCCCAAGTGCTTCTGAATTCCACACATTGCTCTCATGCCCTTTGGGTGTCCTTGACCTTGTACTTAACCTCACCTCTATAAAATGTGAATGATAATATAATTTATCCCCTGAGGTGGCTAAAAGGCTTAAATCAATCAATCTCTGTGGAAACAGCATAACAATTAGCACTTAACAACATTCCACATATAAATATGCTAAATACATTAAAGATTGTAACTACTAAATGGTGTAATTACATGTGTTTAATTTTTACATTTAAATAGTCAAAAAAATTTTCAGATTGTCCGGTTGTTGTGGTTGTTTGTTTATACTCGGGAAAAGAGGGATTTTTTTGGTTGGTTGTTTGGTTGGTTGGTTCATTGGTTGGGTTGGTTGACTGCTACTAAGGAATGAACCAAGAACCCTGACCCTTTATTATAGTTTTTACTTTAAGACAGGATCTTGCTAAGTCATTAAGTTGCCCAAGCTGGACTCCAATTTGTTATCCTCCTGTCTCAGCCTCCCAGAGGGCAGGGATTACAGGCATGGGCCACCATGCTGGGCTAAGAGATAAGTTTTATAAACGTTTAGGCCTTAAATGTTCCACTAATGTTAAGATATTTTAAAACCAAAAAACTAAGCCTCTTACAGACTTCCCTGGGCTGCATCTGTGCTGGGAGAGCCTCTATCTCTCATGGAAAACAAGCTCCTCATTTCCATAAACTGATAACACAGCACAGCAGAGCAAGCATTCATGAAAAGTGGAATTCTTAAATAACAAGTAGGAAGTGTTTGACATTATGAAAACAAGAAGCAATAAATACAAATAAGTCCCAGGTAGATTATCTCCTCAAGTTCTCCAGGTGCTATGAGAGTTGGGAGTGTGTTATATTGCATTATAATTTATAACTGGATTTTGAAATCTGTTCTGTAATAGGTCTAGTAACCAGAATGGGAATTAATTCTCAATTCACACCTCCTTACATTGCTGGGAATATTGCCAAACTGGACTTCATATGAGACAGACTTCCGTGTACATATGTCAGTCAGGGCCCACCTGGTCTCCAGGACTCCAGTCCAGGTACAGTACCTCCTCAAGCACAGGGAACTGTTTGGCTAAATTATTCAAAAATAATACACTTCTGTAGTTCCTCAGGCTTCTGACGAATATAATGAAGCAGAGATTTATCTATGTCTCTTCTGAGATGATTGATGAAAAATCAGCTGCGTGCAGCTAGGAAAAAAGCCAGGAGAAAAGCTTAATCTGTTTTCCTTAATCTGAGTCTGTCATGGCCGTGTGACTGCTGATGTTCAGAAATTCAACCTGTGGACAGAAAGGCAAGGACGCTAGTTCCCAGGTGGTAAGGTCCGGGCCGGGGGAGCAAGTGCCCCGCAGCCTGGCACGCGTGCAGGCGGGGCTCTCTCAGGCTGATGGAATCATGGGGCGGTGCACAGTGGCAGAGGAGGCGGCTCTCTGAGGAGGGCCGTGCATGTTGCTCCCTCTGCTCTGCTTCCCAGCTCCTGTGAGGGAAGCAGCTTTCCTCGCCCAGGCCCTCTTCCAAGCCCTTTTCCTCTTGGAACCAGCTGACAGTGCACTGGAAACGTGAGCCGAAGTAACCCTCTGCTCTTTGAAGTTGTGACTATGGGGTACTGTGTCCTCGTGGGGAGAAAGTAACCAAGACATAGGGACCTGTTGGTCTAGAAAATGGTGCTGAGCCCTGTTCTTCTAGGACCCATTTCCCACCGGGGACTTAGAAAAATAATCGGCAGACGTTGGAGTCTGCATCAGTTTCTCCAGCTGTCTGAACTTTGTTTTCCCCATCCGTCCAGTAAGAACACCTACCTGGCAACGTGTCCGTGAGAGCTCAGATAATTCACACAGCGCACTCCTCAAACACCTGGCACTCAACCGGGTGCACGTGGCTGCTGGCATTTTTACTGGAATGCTGATTTCAAAGGCCTGGTCACAGGCTATTTCACGAATATTTCAATCCCTTTAACTGAAGAATATGGTTTCATTCTACTATTATCCTTAAAGCTTAGTAGGAAACACCTGGGAATGACAGCAGTTTACTTAAGGTCACACAACCCTGAAAAGCATTCACTTCAGATCATAACAAGATCTTTGGGGCTAGAAAAGAAAAACAAGGTTTCTGCTCATTTATTTAAGCACTTATTTAGCACCAACCATGCAGCAGGTTGGCAGTGGCTCCTAGCGAGTGGGGAGGAGTCCGGCCTAAGGACTTTAAACACTCCTCTCCTCGCAGTTCTCATGCTTCAGCCTTGGCTCAAGGGCACTTCCTGGACTACCCACGTACTCCAGCTCTGCCCTGGTCCCCTGAGACAGCTGGGCCAGCAGAACCTCTGTGGAACTTGCCAGGAGCAGGCTTGGCCGCCACTCTCAGACGCATAGGCGATTGCTCTGTGTTTGTTTTCATTACGTTCAGCTCCTATCACTTTCCAGGCCCCACCCCCAACAGGCTGGGTAGACATTTGGTCCCAGCCACCAGCGGGCACCTTTAGAATCTAGTCCTATTAGAGGCCAAGAGCCACCGCTGGTACCTAGAAAACAGAAAAGGCCCTGGGCCCATCCCGAGTCACAGCCAGGTCTCCCTCTCCACACACGTCACAGCGGGCCATCCCTACTCTCAGAAGCGCTCAGCTTCTGCGGGTGCAGAAACCTTGCCAGTGCAGCAGAGAGCCTGGTCGTGAGTCCTGCCAGTGCGCTGGCATCCCGTGTGGAAGGGATCGCCATTCCACAGCGCGAGCCCTCCCACCCTCGCCCTCTGTCTCTCTTTGAGTGCATGCAGCTGCTTCTACCCCCAGCACCTGCAGACTATTCCTGCACAAGACCAAATCGCAAACATTTCAGGATTTGCGGGTCACGCTGTCTTTGTCAGAACTACTTTCCTCTGTGGTCACAGTGCTGAAGCTGCCCTAGACAGTACGTAAACGAACACGCACCGCCGTGCTCCAATTACACTGCATTTGTGGACCCCCAAATCCATTTTCATAACATCTTCACAAATCACTATTATTCTTCACTTGATTTTTTAAAAGCCATTCTAGTGCTCAGGCCACCAGCAGAGGAGGCAGCGGCTGGATCTCCACATGGCCAGGAGCCGCCAACCCCTGCTCTGTCCTTGTCTCTTCCACAAAGAACATGAGCGTGTTCTCTTCAGTGAGTGCAGATTTGGGGAAAATAAAATCCACATTTATTCATTTGTTTAACAAATCCACCAAGAGCAACTGTTTGCCGTCCCACATTGCCCAGACTATCTCAGGCTGTAGGATCTTAGTGCTAAAGCAGAGGAAGTTCCAGGGAAACTCTTAGGTGCCAGGCAGTGACAGCTCCACAGGAAGGGAGATGCTTTGTCCTTAGCAACCCAGCACGCTCCCACCCGCCTGCCCTTCCTCGGCCTGCAGTCACCCCTCCTGTTACTCACCCACACAAGGCAGGGACCAAGCCCAAAGGCTCATCTCCACGACCGTCCCACTGCATAAGGAAGAGCCCTGGGCCCCCACACCAAAGGCAGAGGGCAGCAGGGGTCAACACATAAGGGTGCCCTCGGTGCAGGTGACCTGTCCGACACCCACCTGCCCGCCTGGGCCCAGAAGCAGGGCTAGGTCCTGGGGAGCAGGACAAGGGCTTCCAGAGTAGTCCGGATCCCTCTCACTCCTACACACACCTATTGCACTTGAAAATGCAAACATCCCAACACCACGCTATAAAACTCATGCACTAGTTTACTTATCTGATTATAAAGGTGTGATTCTGTACTTATATTTATAAATTCACTTGGGTTTAATGAGAAAAGTCTAAATTTGAAGCCTTTTAGAAATATGAGTTTCCAGGGCTAAGCATGTAGCTTAGGGGTACAACTCTTGCCTTGCATGCACAAGGCCCAGGGTTCAGTCCCCAGCACCGTACACACACAAAATGAGTTTCTAGCAAAAAAAGCTTTCCTGTTCTCCCCAGAGCCTCAGCCCTGTTACTGCCTTCCCACCGCTGCAAGAGCTTGATGATAAGGAGCCCTCCCCTCCCTGCGCTGTGACCCTCTTCAGAGCCTTTATTTAATTAGGAGGCAGGCAAGCGAGACCACGTGCCAGAGTGGTGAGTAACAAACAAGCAGGACCTCCCACTCCTCTTGGACCCCTCTGGCAGGCAGCTTCGTGCAGTGCACAACCTATACAGCATCTATAGTATGGATGTTAAATACCCGCCGAAGTCATCAACGGACCCTCCTCAGACTGGCTTTGCGGGGAGGTGCTGTGCACCTTCCGGACTGTGACCTGTGGAAGGTTCTTAGGCTGCTGGAAATGTGCTCCTTCGGGACCCCAAGCCCTTCCCCTCTATCTTTGCCTCCTGCTGATGAGGCGAGCAATGACTCACTGTAAGCCAGAGCCAAGGGGCTAAGGCTGGTGGAGTGAACCTCCAAACTCTGAACCAGAATAGCCTTCTCTCTTGCAAAGCTCCGGTATTTTGTTACAGTGGCTGAGTAACAAAGTCAGCAGAAAGCTGACTAACAGCCAGCACACACAGTCACCCACCAGGGAAGGCATTGGGCTCTTTGCCTAAAGTTGGAGGGCTGGAGATGGGGTGAATCTAATTGCTGCAGACGCCCATGGCATCCTGTGCTGAGTGAGGGTAACAGACTCTGAGCCGCTTGCCCCTGACTGCAGGGCAGCTGAGCCTGGAGTCGTGATTTCTGTCTCCCAGTTGCTTGTGTTCTTGACAACCGGCGGTTCCCCTCCCGTTGTGCCTCCTGCGCTTTGCCACAGGATGTGCCTGCGAAGGATGGGCTGAGGCGCAGGCTGGGCGGCTTTGGAAAGCTACCCAGGCGGAAACTAAAGACAAAAGGTCTGCAACCAGATGTTACTCCACCCCTGAATTAAGCAGCTGCTGCTGCGGCTGCCGAAGGATACAAAAGACTAAACGTTAAACCAAGCCTTCAACAGAAGCTTCATTTGTCTGAGGGGCGGCGGAGGAAGCGCTGGCAACAAGCGGGCTTCTCATTCACTCACCGCTGCTGGCAAAATCCTGACTGCGGCACTGCCTGACAGCTGGCGGTTGGGTTGCCATGTCAACAAGAAGAGACCCGAATGGGGTTTTGTTTACTCATAACCCAGGTCTCCATGTGAGTAGCTCTTAGCTGTAGGAGAAGCAAAGAAACTCGATCTGTAGTGCCAAGACTGCCTCCCTGGGCACTAGAGTTGTTCTCACCCAGTGGGGAGCCCTGGAGCCCGGGAAGGCACCCAAAGTCCAGCAGACAGGTGGGAGTGTGAGGAGAGCGGGAGCCTGGAGTTGAAGCACCCGGAGGCTTTTGTTCTCAGGGATGAACACTTAGGAGCCTCACTTGTGTCTGGAATTTGGCTAGAAACTCCATGGATGTGATTTGATTTAATTTGACTCTTCAGACTATGCTGATGTGTTGATATTAGCATATCCACTTCACAGATAAGCAGAGAGACCCTAAATGAACAGAAGCAGCAGAGCAACAACTGACCAGATGAGGACACATGCATGAGATGGACCCTGGATCCTGCAGCTGCTGAAAACCAAGGGTATGACAGATACTTCATGGCACATTTGCTTTAACATGCTGCTAAGCAAAAGGGGATAGAAGGCAAAGCTACATCATTCCGCATGGCAGCTGATAAAATTTGCAAGAGGAATATGTATCCATAGGAGGAAAGTATGAAAAATAATACCACAGAAATAACCAGAAATCACCCCCCTGGGGACAAGCAAAGGCTGCCAGTTCAGAGCGTGCTGTACCAGGAGCCAGCTGCCTCCCTGTAGCGCACAGAGACTGATGTGGGCCAGGGAGTAGGAGGACTGTACAGGAGAAAAGGGAGGCTCAGGGGAGCTCACCTGACCCAGGGCATCCTCTGGGACAGCTTGGGATTGCAGTTTGACTTTCTCCAGCTAGTCCTAAATTAGCAGCATAGGCAGAACTTGGGGAACTGACAATTATTGACCCCGTCCCAACCATTCCATGCAAAGTCTATGGCTTGTCTTCCCGGATGGTTCCTGCGGCCTGTGGGTCAGACTTTTATAGCCAGGAGGGGTGGTGTACACTGAAATCCCCACACTGGGAAGGCTGAGGCAGGAAGACCACAAGTTTCAGCCCAGCCTGTGCAACATAGGGAGACCTTGCCTCAAAAGAAAAAGTAAAAAAGGCTAAAGATGTAACTCAGTGTGAATCCCCTGCATTCAGTCCCCAGTACCACTACCAAAAAAAAAAAAAACCAAACATATTATTTTTGCATAAGGCCTGACTATTTTCCATATTCACTCTCTCAGTATGCTAAATAATGGTAGTTCTCACTAGTGTTTAAAGCTGTAATTGATTTTTGTTTATTTTCTAATTCTTTTCATATTTTTCTCAATGTTTACAATAAATGAATATTACTTATAACAGTGGATAAGTGTTTTACAAAGTAAAAGAAACTGAGGTTCAGAAAGGTGAGGTAATCTTCCCAAAGTAGCACAGCCAGTGAGAACGTGGGCCATTTCCTGTCTGATATCTTCCAGAGATGTTTAGGGCTTGGTAACAGAAAGGATCGAGAGTAAAGGTGTGTTAAGGAATTTATACAAATCAGCTTCTTCCTAGAATCACTTTAAAAGCACTTGGTTAAGTCTCATTACTCAATAGCTAATAAGGTTTTAAGGTATATTCATTTTTCTAGGATATTTTATTTAAATGAAAGCTAATGAAAAATATGTACTTGTTTTTAGGATAGAACATTGCTAGTGTCTTTAAGGATCAGACAAGCACTTTGAACTGTTGTCTCAGGAAAAATACATAGAAACAAATTATTTTATCACAATTTAAAAAGCCCACAGACCAAAACCTCTGTTGGAGTGATACACAGGTGGTGTGGTTTACAAGCCTGGACAGGGAAGGTATTTGAGGTCAGCAAAGACCTCAGCTCACCAGGTGTAATAAAAATATATGGTGAAAATTTAAATTCCTAACGTTACTGTTAATCCCCCTCAAAATGCTCCTCCTAACTTTGAATACATTTCTCACTCTTGCCACTTTAAAAGTTCTGAAGTCCTCTTTTCTGAATGTCTCTATGAGGTGTGATCAAAAATACAGTGACCACTCCTGCTGCATACCGTCCAACACAAAGGCAGGCTTAGAAAAACCTGACAGCGTGTCTCCACCATCTTATTCACCAGGTGTGGCTCTGTGAGACTTCCAGATCTTCCCCAAGTCAGAATGACCATGAAAAGTACATGTTTTGAATCAGTTCAGGACATCAAGGCCATACAACTAAAGACACCCATGAAAGAGGGCTGCCAGAACTGCATCAGAGAGTGGTAGGTTACTCCTATCCCTGTAATGCGATGGTATGAGGGAGAGGAGTGCTTTGAGGGAGACGGATGACAAGGTGTCTTCTAACTGGATAAGGGATTAATGCCAATGTATCTTTTAATATAATAATTTTTTAACATTTAAACATTCGCCACATTTTTTTATCACAACATGTAGGTCACAAAAATAGTTCTGTGTATAATCAGGTGTGTCTGTGTTCAGGGCAGCTCACTCCTGATTTATTTGTAGTTGACAGAAAACAGTCGTGGCTGCTGTAAGCAGTGCCCAGACTGCTCCTGCACAACTCCGCCATCGATAGTGCAAGTGGCGTCTTTTAGAATTGCATGGCGTAGCCAACCTGATGTGAAAAAGTGAAATCCACACCACCGACTGCACCAGTGTTACCTCGACAGGTAGCTGCCCCTTTCACTACTGACCACTTTCTCACCACTGACACCCGAAGTGCTAACTTGACATTCCCTCCTATCCCTGTGAAAGTATCAAAGTTAGCAAGAACTATGCATCAGATACCCCTTTCTTGGATCAACAACCTCTGATCAGGACAAGTTACTTGGGATTCTACTTCTAGTAAGACAGAGTAAGCCCTTACCAGACTAAATGACCACAGATTTTTGGCAAAATACAGAAATCTGGTACCTGGAAGCTGTGAAGAATGAAAAAGGAGGTTGGGGAGAGAAATTAAAAGTTAAGAGAATAACATGGAATGAGACCTTTACTTTTATGGGTTTAGTTCATGGGCATGCCAAAGTCATTCCATGGCTCAGAGTGGTCAGAACTCCAATAGAAAGCTTAGCACTTCTCTGACTGAGAACCCCAAGGAAAGAACCCAGGACAAACAAAACTGCTAGAAAATGAGGGTATAATCTTGGAAAGGAGTCAATCAAAAAGGGAGATTCCCAAACTAGGAGAGCAAACTATATCCAAGTCTCTGGTAAACCAATGTCGTGCATGCAGGGGGCAAACATAAAGCAGTTTCCAGAGAAAGCTAAAAGAACTGAAATCTGACCTGCAACTCCTGTGCCCACAAAAGAGCAGACAAATTCATAGTTTTAAGTCTAAACAAGTTAATTCTGACTAAAATGAAAAGAGTAATCCTTCAAAAATATAATAGAATTCACAGTCTCTGCAATATAATAGTCCCAGAATCAAGCATATATGCTAAAATTATACAACATCAGATGAACTAGGATAATATAACCCAGTCTCAAGGAAAATAGGTCAATTCTGAGATTGCCTAGATGTTGGAATTACCAGAAAAGGACTTTAAAATAGCTACTGTAACTATGCCTAGTGCTATAAAGGAAAATATATTCAAAATGAATTAAAAAGTAAGGAGACACTAGGCTGTGGTGTACCTGAGTCTTACATGGCAAGGACTGGCACCATCTTGGGGTACACAGAGGCTCATACCACAACAGGTAGTGACTCAGTCTAAAACACGAGGGTGTCCTATTCCCACTGGGGCTAGGTGTCTGCTAGGTGTTAGGGAAGTTCTGAGAATACAAGTTTGGCAACACCTGTGCTGCCCAACATTGCAGCATGGATTTTGGAGCCAGGCATTTGGCTAGAAAAGCAGACATGAAGCCTAAGTCTCACACCCTTGCACAGTCTTAGAAGGCGCAGCAGAATGAATCAGTCTGAGAACTGAATATCAGAGCTAGAAGACATAATTGCAGTTAGCTGTCCCAAAAAGAAAGATTTCTTAAAAATAGCAAAGGACCATGAAAAGTCAATCCAACAGCTGCAAGATGATGAAAAGAAGAACAACATAAGATTGATCAAAGTCAACAAAAAAGCAACAGACCATGCAAACAACATAAAAAACTGTTCACAGAAGTAATGGCAGAAAACTTCCCAAACATTGAAAATGAATTTAACATACAAATAAGTGAAGCATATAAAACTGCAATTAGCCATGACTTAAGTGAGTGTGCACCCAGGCATATAATAGTTAAGGTTCCAGAAATTCAGCACAAGAACAGAATCTTAAAAGCTGTTACAGAAAAAGATATAACCTATAAAGAAAAGCCCAACAGAATCACAGCAGACTTCTCAAGGCAAACCCTTAAATCAAGGAGAGCTTGGAGTGAATATTTCAAG